TATACATATATATATATCGTGTGTTGCGGGCTAATTAAAATCAGGTTCCTATTTTTAAGCTTTGGGTTGGTTAAGCGTACATCAATCGCGCCATCTAGTGGATTTGTAATATATAGTTTCATTTTTGGCCACTAGAGGCTCTACATAATGCTCCTATCTTTTTCAAATTAAAATTCTAAATTATTAATCAAAAGTCTCATCCCTGGCTATATTCCCTTTCAGGACCCATACAGAGAATGCTTAGAACACTAATATTAGCCTTAGTGAGCTTGACACTAGAATTTGACCAGACTAGCTCTTGGGTTTCAAGTGAGGGAAGAAGGGTTTGTGCATATAATCTATCAGAGGGAAGCAAAAGCACTTAGAGAAACATCTTGGACGAAATCAATCCACCCTGAAATGAACAAATAGCTGATCGTGAGGCCTGTAATGATGGCTGTCAGCTACAGATGCTTCCTCTCATGATGAGACACTTAGCAGTAAAAAAATCTTGAAATTTGATATTCAAAATTTTTAATCTTAAAACGTTTAGACAATAACATTGTATGTATTCAATCAATACATGGCATGCTGTGTAACTGCAGTGTTTGTAAGGCACTCTTTACAACAAGGAACAATTGTGAAAACATTGTGAAAAGAGCTTATACAAATGAATTTATTAGAAAAATGATCCGCAAATAGTATATATTATAAATACATTATACATACACAATATTTTGCAAGGCGGAAGTAAGCTATTTGTAAATGTGCGAGACTTCCGTTTCATTAACCGCTACAGGTAAATAGAAGAAATGAAGAATGACAAAGTGCAGTTAACAGTAAAACTATTTGCGCTACAAACCAGCGTGTTTATTATTACAATAATAAAATGATGTGATAATAAATAGGCTACCAGTTTGCAATATCAAGCAGTATACCGGACTATTTTTGGACAGGTAAAATAATAACTAAACAAATGACACCGGAAGTCTCGCTCATTCAAGTTAAACATGGCCCGCTGTTATGTTAAAAATTAGGTGGATAATATTAATATTATAAAATTAGCTGCATGATAAATGTACTGTAAATGGCAGTTAACATTAAATTTAATTAATTAATTAATTGACATGTCAAAGACACGATAAATAATTGATTCTGTTCAATTTTTATTAACTTTTTCTATGCACGTAGAAACAGATTTTGAATGCCGTGACTCAAACTCTGAATGACATCCGGTGGATTTAACAGAACCAGATGTTTAACTCCACTGTGACTCACATAGCATCAGATTCACTTACAACACTCAGCTACGCCTCTGCTGACTGTATGTGTTTGTGTGTGTGTGTGTGTGTAACTTTTGTCGGACAGCTTAAAACCAAAACCCAGTCAAAAGATATGAGGAACCCTGAGAACGAGAAACTGGAAGAACTACATTTTATTTTTTTCCCCCCTCACACTTGGCTTTTAGTGAGAAGAATGATCAAACAATGAAATAGACACAGAAACATTTGAACACAAAGAAATTCCTCTAATATTCCAGATTCATGTGGCGTCGAGCGGCAAGGTTTGGAAACAGGAAAATGGAGCTCCAGGAGTGACTCACTGACAGATATAAAGGAATAAAACCTCCAGCAGCTCTGAGCCATGCTTGTCTGAGTCACAGCAGGTTTCTGCATGTTTACAGCTGCATTAGGGAAAATGTTGCCCAATGACTTACAAACAATAGCCGAATTCTTCAAACCTCACAGGACATGAGAGCAGAACTCATTCCAGCAAGAAAATGAGATGATTCTTACTGTTTTTGGTCTGCAGATAGTTTGGAAATGGGGCATTTTGATTTATTCTCTTCATTTAGGATACTGGTAGGCCTCCTTTTCTCTCTTTATTGACATTACAGTATCTTTACCATCTAATGAAACTTTCCAATGCACAAAAAGTTCCTTTATAGGGAAAAAAGTTTTTTTTCAGATTATTAAAATTTTCTTGACACTAAGAAATAAAATGTTTTTTTCTCATTGCAAATCTATTGCATGTCTGCACAATGTTGTGACTCGTGTGAGCCATACTTGTTTATTTTTTTTTCACTATGGTGGTCAACACAAATGTTTGTTTTATAAGCTACAAATTTCATATTTATTCTATCCCTATCCCTACCCCCATATTTATTCTATCTATGTTTGTAGAAAGGTTCTTTAGGGAACCCAAAATGTTCTTCAATTGCATTTTTACGAAAACCCCCCATCTTAAACTTTATTTTCACCATAGTACTGAAATGTATGCACTATGTTTGGTTTTCAAAAAGTAGGCTACACAAGAAAACCACATTAAATGTGCAAAGAACATGGTAATATAAGGATATTTCTGTAAGTGCATGATAATTCTATAGTTTGGACATGTTCCATGACAGTACCATGGTATTGCAATGTTAAAAGTACCAAAATACCACGTTTTGGCATTGTCAGCAGATAATCATGTGACCCTGGACCACAAAACCAGTCATAAGCAGCACGGGTATATTTGTAGCAATAACCAACAATACATTGTATGGGTCAAAATGATCAATTTTTCTATTATGCTAAAAATCAGGATATCATGTTCCATGAAGATATTTTGTAAATTTCCTACCGTAAATGTATCAAAACTAAATTTTTGATTAGTAATATGCATTGCTAAGAAATTCATTTAGACAACTTTAACTGCGATTTTCTCAATATTTTGATTTTTTTTTTTTTTTTGCACACTCAGATTCTTAAATAGTTGTATCTCAGTCAAATATTGACCATACATCAATGGAAAGCTTATTTATTCAGCTTTCAGATAATGCATAAGTCTCCATTTTAAAAAAATTTGACCCTTATGACTGGTTTTGTGGTCCAGGGTCACATATGGAAATGTTCTAAAAGCGCCACGCCCGGACTGACATCACCGGGTTTGACTTAACATCTCGATTCGTCACGGTGACCCAATCACACCCAGCAGCGCTGCTTGGGGCTGACGGAAACTGACTGTAGGGCCACGAAGTGTCGTTAGGGGCCAGGCTCTGGGCTGCGCCAGCTGCATTCACCCTCCCCAAACAAGCTGCGTCAATAATGCCCTCATGTCTCCAGACGGTTGGCTCTCCGTCCAATCAGCGTTCGAGATGGATTTGAAAAACGGCGCGTTCAGCCAATCACAACGCCAGGCGCTGACGTAGGGGCGGGAAGAGAGGCGTGGCTCTGAAATCTAGGGTGTCGCCGTGGTGGCTCCATTCGAAGGCGACGGCGGTTGGTTGGTCGTCTCTGTGTTTGTCCTCTTCCAAACTCCACAAACGGACCCGGTACAGGCTATCGGTTCGGATCCAGCTGTCAAACGAGATCTGTGCGGTTCGGCATCGCTGGGATGAAGCGGAATATCTTTCATTTGAATCGGATCGCTGGTGTAGTTTGAAGAAAGAGAGTCGGGCGGAGGAGCCATTTTGTCCCGACAGTGTGAGAAGAAAGAAAGACAGAGACATTAAAAACACCAGACACCACACGTTCAGAGGAAACACACATCTTAAACATCTCCTTCGGAGTTTAAAAAAGAGTCAACAGAGGAAATCGAAGCAATTCAGCTGTGAAGAGACTGTCCGGTGTGTGTTTTCGGGTAACACACACACGCTTTCCCTTTAACACGCACTCAGTCTCTATCGGTTTCTCATCAGTGTGTGTTTATAAGAGCTCAGATGGCGAAGAAGACCTATGATCTGCTCTTTAAACTGCTCTTGATTGGTGATTCTGGGGTGGGAAAGACCTGCGTGTTGTTCCGATTTTCAGATGACGCCTTCAACACCACCTTCATCTCCACTATAGGTGAGTATCACACCCGAATCCACCCGGTCCGAGGGTTTTCTTCATTGTTTTATGTCAGAAATGCTGTTAAATGTGTGAGGATGTGCTGACTAGGCCTTGATTCTGGACTTTAGTATGCTAACCGGCTAACTGATTCATATCAGCTGAGTGAATCACCTGAAATCAGTTGATTCAGAATCACATTCTAGAGTTCCGAATGCTGTTTTGGTTGTCTAATAAACGTCGTTCTGTTCATCTGTATATTTGGATTAATGTTATTGTAGTTGTTGAGGTTTTTTGGCTAAAGTTTGCGTTAACATGCGGGTTGACTGACAAATAATGATTTGATGCCGGAGGAGTCAAAGACAGTAATGGCTTGTCAGTGTTTTATATGTAATTTCTAATTTGTCCAGACGAGATAATCGATACATTGTGAATGGTTTAGATTAAACGTTAAAGGTTCAAGCGGCCTGTTACATGGAGTAACGTTAACCCCAAAATCCATCGCTCTAAGGGTTAAACCGGTTAACATATTAAAACAATGCATCGTTACTGTGTCACTAGAGCGTTTAACTAACGAGTTTGTTAAAATCATCGATAAGTTATTTTTAAAGCATAAACAATTCATTAGTGTGGCGTCATCGGCTGCGCTACTGCGCGTGCGTGACTCGCCTCGTGCCAATAGAGCGATTGCCTAACTGTGTTCTCTATCTATGCTAAACCTGTCTTTTCACTACCTCCTGGTGCTTTCTGCATGATATCATGGCAAAGGCACATCTGAAATGGGATTTTCACGGTTGTTAGTGTATGTGTTGACTAGATTTTGGGTTATGGCCAGGTGTGAGATCTGCAAACAATCTCTCCACCCTTCCATAAAAAAGCACTTTGGAGCTGCCATTGGACCAGTGTACTGAGTAAGTGCTATATTATTATTATGCCAGGGTTTTTCCAATGTACTTTGTGTAGACGGTGTCCAGAATCCATAGTAATACCATGGTACTTTTTGTAAGGAGATGAGCTTCCTAAATACACCACATTAAATTGGGAAGTAATGAATCTGAATGTTAAGTTCATTGTCGTTTTATTTAGTTACCTGTTTATTTAACCCAAATCCATCATCTGTCACCTGACAAACATCACTAAGCATGTAAATGCTAGATATACTACTTGTTCAGATTGCTGCAGATGTTTGAACACCATTGTTGCATTATAATACGCACTTCCTATCCTCACTCTTTCTCTGTGTTCAGATGCCTGGAAGGTAAATTCAGTGGGTTAAAATGAGAAGCATGCCGTACCTGTTAGATCACAGGAACCGCATAAACACATTCACTGAGAACAGCGTGGGTAGATGTCATTTAGCAGATGCTCTTGAACTCAGTTTACGTACGGCAGGGTCATTTCTCTGGGGGTAACAGGAGATCTCAGCGCCACGCCGGTTCATGGGGCAAATTTAGACACAAATCAGTTGATTCAGAATCACATTCTACACCCTGTCCGTTTATTTTAAAGAACGCATCCTAAATGCTCTTTCGTTTACATTTTGTCTGATTATTAAGAAGAAATGTCCTGCATTTGTAGACCTTTAGTTGTTGAACGTGTATTTAAGTTTACATTAAATCAAAATTAAATTAGTAGGTATTATTATTGTACATTAAGTATCCGGTATTGTTGTTATTGTTATTAAATATTTTTTACATTTATTTTCTATTTTCAGTATTGTTTGTTATTTGTTAATATGTTTTGTTTTTGATCATTTTTGTTAATAGTTCTTGTTTATACAAGTGTGTTAGCCTGTAACTAATGTTAGAACAAATTTATGTGATGCATGTTCAGGATTGTTCCTAAAAAGAAAAGTAGAAAAAAGAAATTAAAATGGACCCAGTTTACTTTTCATAACGCACGTTCCTGGTTATTGTGAATGATTCATCACCGTATGTTATTCCAAAGAAAAAGCCTTTCTTTTTATATATAGTTCATAACTTGTGCTGCCTCTAGAATTGACTGCTGGCATCACATGGTTCATTGAGTATTAGTTAACATAAAATTATTTAATCTGTGAAATAATAGGTTTGTTTTTAATGGCATTTGTAAGTTGAATAAAGTTGCCGTCATTGATTATGTTTCAGACTGATAAAACCTGGAAATGATCATGATTTAGGGATGGAACGATTACTGGTTTCACGATAAATCACGATAAAATGCCCTGACGGTTAGTAATACCGTTTAAAATTTAATTATCATCAAAACCGTGTTTGATTATCGCGCTTTTGAAAACTCGCGGTAAATCCTGTCCAGCCAGCATCAGTCTGACGCAGAAGCAGCATGCAGTGTTGTTGTTGTTGTTTTTTTTGCACGAGACAAAATGGCGGAAGGCAGTGGCAGCGCTCGGGAGATTTTTCAGCCATCTAAGAGAACCAAATCGGTGGTCTGGTCGTATTTTGGCTTTTACAAGAGTCCTGAAGGCAATTTAATCGAGGACGGTCACCCTGTCTGCTGATCTTGCAAGAAGAAAGTCGCTGCAAAAGGGGGAAACGCATCAAATTTGCTCCGTCATCTTCGTGACCACCACCCACTGTTATATAGCGAATGCAAGGTAACTTTTACCTCAATACCAAAACTAACTGGGCAAATAATTGGACAAAAAATATTGATTAGAGATTAAATATCACTATAATCGTGATATGAAATTTTCATACCGTTACATCCCTATCATGATTGGGAATGAAAACAAATATTGACCTGGTTTCTGGACAGGCAAGGGTGTGCGTGACCTTTACGACTGTGTTTTTGTCTGTGCTTTGAGTCACATGACCACTCATGGTGTGTCAGGTGACCACATCACACCTGTGGCTTCCTGTTGTGATCAGGTGGCAGTTGTCAACTATGTCAGCATGAGGGTTGATGTTCTGAACTGTCAGGAAATAGTAGTTTAAGTCAACAGATCAGCGAAAACTTCTAATCCATTTCTTCTTTCAATTTTAGTGTTTCTTTTTTTTTTTTATCAACATGTAATCAGAATTGACTATTTGCACTTTATGCAGTCTCTTGTTAGTATTCTACATGTTACTCCAAATTTTTTTCCTTGTCGATCTATTATCAAAGTATCAACTTGCTCCATTTCTAAAACAACATTCTTTTATTGATGATGTCATCAAGGCCACTTAAGTTTCGACCAATGACAGATTAGTTTCGGAAAGAAAGTTCTTTCTCATTTTTTACAGGATAAAATAAAGTCCCGCTTTACATTTTTTCCTTGTTCAACATCCTGTCACTTTATGGACATGGGTTATGAATGCCATGTCATGTTGAGTTGAAGTGCATCTCTCTCTCTCTCTCTCTCTCTCTCTCTCTCCCTCCTTCTTTCTATAGTTCAGAGCCTTAAAATACTCACCGGAAACTCCCTGCAGTCCCAAGGGAAAGATCACCTTACACACTCACCACGAATACATGCCTTAACCATATTTGAACTATTAAACTCTTGATTTAAGTTTTTATAAATGCATAAAAAAAGAGACTAATCGAGCATTTTCTTTCTTTTGTTTTTCTGTCTGGCACTAGTGAATTCTCTTTCTTTGACTGACAGGATCTTGGCTCAGTTGGGCGGAGCTTCATTCTGGACCCTTGAGGGGCCCCACAGCTGCAGAGGCTCATGGGAAGGGGTCTGATTGGCTGCCTGTCAGGAACCCTTCCATGTCCTTTGTGTTCAGAACTCGTATAACCCAAGTTTTAAACTAGTCTCACATTTAGTAGCCAAATCCAGGCTTCTTAAACTGTTGCAGGAATCCTTTACTCACCCTTATGTCACATTAAACCAGAGTATTAATTTCCTTGTTGATGTTGGGCAGAATATCCAGGCTGCTCTTTTATTGTCAACTACTTGCCAAAAATGACAGCTTTAGTCCTCATTGTATGAAATGGAGTAGCAAAATATCTTATTTTGCATTCCAGTCATACAGGTTTGTAACGGCATGACGGTTAAGTTAAAGATAACCCAATTGTCATATCTGGTGAATTGTTCCTTTAAAGCCATATGTGGCATAAGCTTGGCTCAAACTTTCTGCTTTTAAAGCCCAACATACCCGACTGCAGTGTGTGAGTGTGAAGGCTCAGTCAAAAGTCCTTTTGACATGTTTCCAGAGGTTAAACTATGATTGTGTGTCACACAACTTTCACATGCTCTGTTTTTATATTCTCATGTGTCATTCACATCAGCAGAGTTTTCTCGTTTTATTCTCTTCGTGTCTCTTTCAGGCTCTGTTCTGTCTCTGCGGTGGTTTGTGTATATTGTGTGAGAGTGACTCAGTCGTTTGGCTGCTCATTTGTGTATCATTTCATAAAGCGGCTCCCACCCATAGTGCAGCTGTGTGCGGTTGGAGTTCTGCTTAGCATTACTGCTTAGCTAAATATGTTGGTCAGTCTTTGTGCATCTAGGGGTGTAACAGTATGTGTATTCGCAACAGGTACGGGTCTTTCGGTTCAGCATGCATGTCCACGAACACGTCGGAAAAATAATGGAGGACAGAGATAAGCTGCTGTGGGAGAAGTACATGATTTAAGTAGTCCTAAACATGAGATTTTCTTTATATTAAGGGCTTCAAAGTAACTCATAAGCATAGGGTTTAAAGCGGCTTGCTTTTCTGTCACATGCGTTTGCTGCTTAATGCATTTGAGACATGTTTTTTCAGTGTATAACTTGCATCTTACGGTTGTATCCTTATCTGTAAATGTTAGAAAGTCACGCCAGTATTTCCATTTGCATAAAGGATCATCTGGACAGCAAGCGAAGAATCACACGGATACATGACTAACAGATGGAGAGCAGTAATTCTGACTAAAATATACATTTTTCTTAAATGTTTCGCTTCCAAAAGTAGAAGCACTTGAAATCTCTTTACTTATTTATAACAGCACCATAAAGTCCAGTATGAAGAGTGTGCTGCAAGAGTATTGATATTTTTTTACATTTAAAGACAGAGATGTAATTTGTTCGGTAAATCACTCTTAATAAAAAAGAAGGA